TAATTGTAAAACTTTAACGATTTGATAAGGTTTGAAACGTAGTCGACTTGGAATAGAAGACTGCAAAAGTCGTCGAAAGAGTGAACTGGGCCAAAAAAATATAATTATAACTAATAAGTAATTTAATATGATAATAAATAATATAACCATAATAATTTGATAATATTAAATAAATAATATTTATATAGATACAAATTGTGTAAAAATATAAATTTAAATTAATAATATGTCTATAAATATTATAAATGTAAAGAAATATTATTTTTAATTTTTATGAAATTAAGTATTTAATAATGATTAGTTAATTATTATCACTGCCCTCAAGATCATTTCAAATACACAAGGCGCACTTATTTTATATAAATTCTTAAATATCAATTGCCTCATTGCATATAAATTAAAATAAACAAAACTCCTATCTAGTCTCTACGCTCCTTTTAAAAACTCTTTCAAAAGTCAATATAAAGCAAAATAGTTATTCACAGCAGCCATAAAATCTAGCTGCATTTTTGGGCCTAACGATTGGAATAGCAATAGAGATAGTACATGAAAATACTGGCTAATTGGGCTCTAGCTCTTTGCGAGTATATGAATTTCACCTCAAGTCGAAGCTGGCAATTAAAAACGGCAAAAAAGGCAGCTGCATTCCGGACGTGGCCGCAACATTTCTTCAATTTATGTTTGTTGCAATAACTCACAATTTTGCTATGCGCACAAGGCCATGTTCACAAACCGCAATCAGAACTTAGACAAAGACAACGGGCAAAAAAAAAGAACAAAATAATAGCAACCTGTACAACACTGACAAAACTTGTTAACCACAACAAGAACAAAGTTGAAATTGCAACGCGTGGGAGCAGCAGCAGCAGCAGCAGCAGCAACAGCGGCAACAGCAAATATATAATTCATAAAGGGCGTAAAACAAATGTGGAGAATCGCTTGGAAAATTGTAGCCTTACTCATGGCATAAAGCACTTGCACTTGCACTTACCATTCACATCACACACTCACGTCGTTTGTCCGCGTGTGTGTGTCCGCGTGTCCGTCAAGCGACTGCAGCCAAAAGAAGAACACAAAAAATACGGCAATTCGCAGCAAGTTCAGTTTTGTTGCGGCAAGTTCACTTCCGCTTCCGTTCGCGCACGATACCGTTACGTTACGTTGCGTTGCGTTAACTAAATTCTGTTGTCAAAAAGTGGAAAATGTTGCAAATATTCTGACAGCAGTTGCAACTAAGGGGCTAACTGCTTAGCCATCTGAGCCGGCCAGCAAAAGTTTGGAGTCGAAGCAACGTGTTACGGCAACTGCCGCAGATTCCGGCCGAGTTGCGAGAGCGCACTTAACTTTCCCGGCTAACTTTATGCCACACTTAAACAACACTGCGAGTGCAAACTTTTCTATCGGTGCAGTTCTTATTATTTACTTAACTTGCCGCAACTTGACAGCTGCCTGGCTATAAATACGATAGTATTTTATATTTTATGTTTTATATTTTATATTTCGTATTTCGTAATTCGTATTATGCCAAAATTCGCATGGAAAAAGTTGTTGGCTAATGCATAATTTATCTTCTGCGACACGTCTTGGCTGTTCTAAGTCTGAAAATAACTGTTTTGCTTGTTCGGTCGATGCTCGCAGTTTATCTGTCGCCGTTGTTGCAACCGCTCCGTCTTAGGAATCACCGCAAACTGTTTGCCCGTGCCCAAGTCCCGGGATCAGAAGCAGTTCTTCTGCCCGGATGCCGCATCTCGTGCCGTCCAAGACAAAAACATCGCACGCTTTTATGAATGGTGCGATGTTTCTTGCCAGCAGACGGCACAGCGTGGAAGTGGAACACGTTTGACGCATGCGCCGGAGTCGTATGCAAGATTTATGACAGTTCCGGAGGTCGAACGGCGACGGCAGCGAGCACGTGGCGCCTCCAACAAGTGTGATAAGCGTGAAAACACGCGCTGATAACGCCCGCACGCAAATTTGGCTTCTTGTCTAAGGTCAGGGACGCCGACGCCCGCATTTAGTCGGTGCCCGCTGTGGTGTACGATATTTGCTGAATGCCACTGTATACCCGAGCAGCAATTTCAACAGATTCTACTGGAAATAGGAAATGTGAAGGAGTTTTGATCCATTGTTGATGTGTTGATTAGCTTAAGATTATTAATCAAAATAATTAAAATAATTAATTTTATTATATTCATATGAACTGAATTTTTAATGAGTTTCATATTAGCTTAAAAGTGTTGTGTCTAGTTAAATTTAAATTAAATTAAATTTTTTAATAAAATGGCATGGCTGTATCTTTAAGATACAACTAAAAACTAAGTAATATTCGAAAACATTTTATACTCTAATGAAATTTACCTACCTATTGTTCTTATTGGGTCACACATGCATTACCCATTCCAAGCTCCGATTTCTGGGACTTGAAATTGTTATTTCATTATTTGTATAGTTGTATAAGACGGAGTTTGAGTTCGTTATAAATATTTAAAATCTTTAAGTGTTTTAATTATTTCATTAATCTTCTTAATGTGACTTCTATAGGCTAAACAGTTGTGTGTTTCATTCAATTTAAAATTAAATTGAATTTATTTATTAAGTTGCTTGGCTGTAGCTTTAAATTAAAGCCAAAAACAAAGTAAAATCTCATTGCATTTAAAATTTAATTGCAATTTCCCTGCCTATTGCTTTTATTAGGTCAGCCATGCATTACCCGTTCTAAGCTCTTTTTGTTAACTATTTTCAAGGATATGGAATTATTATTTTTCTTATTTGTATAGTCGAATAAACCGGAGCTAGAGTGCACATAGCGTTTTAATTATTTCATTAATCTTCCAAAATGCTTGTGTGTTTATTGGAGCTGTGCAAACTGTGTTGATGAGGGTTAATCAGTTCGATATCTGGACAAACAGACCACAAAGCAGGAGTACTCAGAAGACAGTAGCAGCAGCAGCAACAACAACAACAGCATCATCAGCAGCAACAGCATTAAATTGCAAAGGCAAATAGCTCAAAATCACGCACTGCCAACCCTTCACAGCATCAATTTGCTGAGTGAGACATGGACAGACATTTCTGGTTGGGGTCTTGTGTAAAGTGTGTGTGTGTGTGTATAATTATAATGCGCTTTATCAACTGTCAATATGGTACGACTTTTGCTACGCATGACAAAGCAAATTATCGAATAGACAACAGCTGCCAAACGGCCATCTGACCGAAACTGAAACCAAGACCGAAACCAATACCAAAAACCACCGACAGCGACGGATATGAGGGAGTCCATTAATTCCATTAGAATTAACTGCAGCCTATGGTATGAGGTCCTTAAAGCCGTGCCCTTTTAAATCTATACCTAATTTGCATTCTCCTATTTCCTTGCCAATTCCACAGTCCCGAATCCAGAGTCCAGAGTCCAGAATTCGCCTTGTCTTCATTTTAGAAAAAGTATTTTCCCTCTTCTTCTTCCTTTTTTTATGTTGCTAAAATTGCTTTCGTTGTTGTTGCTGAGCGTAATTTGATGTTAATGTATGCATGCAGTGCAGCCCTCCTCAAACTGGGGCCTGGGGGCGGTTCATAAAGGGGAGGCGTGCATAAATTACTGGGGCGAACACAGCGAAACAGTTATAACAATAAAACGCGAAGCTGCAAACAAACTCGGCTAGTTTTGTTCATTAAAAAGCTATTTCAAAAATCCGACTTTAAACTCTGATGAAATGTATCGCACGAATTTGCTTAGAATACTATTTATATTTACCAATTATAAAGTTTAAATTTACGTTGAATTTTTTAGTTCATGTCTCGTTCATGATTAGATAAATGTTCTATGGAATTATTTAAATTTCATCAAAACTTTATAGCTATTAAGCTATTGGATAACACATTTTTGGAATTCGACAAATATATGATAGCTTACAGATAAGAAACGTTTTTTTCCAACATTTTAAATAGGCCTTGGGCAGAGCAAAAATCACTTTCAGATAAAGTAGGTTTATTTACAAACAATATGTTTTTTATGTTACGCTATTACCCTAAGTCTTTCCCATTAACGTCTTTTGGTTTAGACTATTTTGATAAATAATAATAATAAATAGATACAACTTTAATAATTAATTGTTATATAACAATAATATAATAAATAAAGACAAAAATTATAAATAAAAATGTATATTTAAAAGTATATAAATGTATTTCATGACTATTATTTATTTTAAAAAACAAAAAATGTTTTTATTATCTGCATTTATTTTCTAGTATATATATAAATATGTATTTAGTATATTTGCTATAAATAAAATAATATTTAGTGAAAGGGTAACAAAATCTTAATATATTTGAATAGGAAATGAAATATAAAAATATTTTTGGTATAATTTAATACTGTAAAAAAATATTTTTATGTCTGCTTCAAATGAATTATCAAATGAATTATCAAATGTTTTTCTTTTGTATATTATTTTATACGAAGTGTAGCTCATTAACCTAATTCAACAGTCGACATTTCCTCAGACTAAAAAAAAAATCTATTTTTAAAATGACGTAAAATAAACATAATAATGCGCAGGTAAAACGGTTTACGTGGAAGACAATTATCGATCTCGCAGCTACAAAGTTCGTTTTCTCTCAAACTATATTTAAATGAAGTTTATTGTTAAACGATAGCCAGGTGGTAGAATTGCTAATCAATAAGCTCCCAAATAGTAAGCTGACGCACTATTTATCGGCCCAGCGGATTACGTAAATAAGAGTGAAAGGAGATAATAGCGTATTCCCAGAATACAAACTAACAAATCAGCTGATACGAATAAAGAACTCAAATACAAGGCGCAAAAAAATTGCAATGGCTAATCTTTTTAATATGTTCTAGCTGATCTAGTTGGTAACAGAAAATGAAAAGGTGCGAAGACCGATATGATATGCTAGTGATATGAAGCTGGCTGATCATATATAAAGCCGGTCGCCGAGCTGCATGGTATCAATAACTAATTTGCATTAAGGCAGACAAAATGACAGCCAAAGCTTTGTTTCCAACGTTCTATGATGCGGAGACCAAGATCTGGAGCGGAGTCAAAAGGCGTCCCTACTACGATCCCGATTGCTCTGTGGGTGAAGTCTTCTACTCTGCGCTTAGGAATTACCCCAACCAAGTGATTCAGGTAGACGACGCGATTCATTAGTGGAGGCACTCAACTACAATAGACTTTCCTTATAGATCAACGATGTCGACGGCACAAAGGTGACCAGTGGACAGATACGCCAATGGGGCATACGCTTGGCCCTGTATCTGACGCGGGAGAAGCTGACGCAGGACGATGTCGTGGGCATCATTGGCCGTTCCAGCAAATTTATAGATCCGCTAGTCTTGGGCTGCTTCCTGCATGCGACGCCGTTCCATGCAGTGAATGCGACACGTGATGCCAAGACCGTGAGCAACCTCTTTGCCGTGACTAAGCCAAAGATCATATTTTGTGATAGCGACGACTATGAGCGTATCAAGGAAATCACCAAGGAGTATTCGCCCAAAATTGTCACACTTACCGGTCGTGTCCCCGATGTGTCCTACATTGAGGATCTGCTGGTGCCCTCGCCCCAGGAAGCATTCTTCCAGTGAGTGTCCGAGCACCCAGCCTCTGGCTAATGCTAACTAATTCTCAATCTGATTCTCTACTTAGACCTGCTTCTTTGAAGACGAATGGCGATCAAACGGCCCTCATTCTGTGCTCATCGGGCACCTCTGGCCTGCCCAAGGCTGTCGCCATTTCCCATTTCCACGTTACCAAGATCGCACCGTAAGTCGTATAAGATCTGAGTGGACTCTGCAACAGTTCTAAACGAGTTCTCTCTGTGCTTTACAGATTTTGCAATAGTACCGATACGATCTTGACGCACGCGACTGTCGATTGGGCGACGGGTTTCATAGCTATGGCCATTAGCCTCCTTTACGGCGTACCCCGCATAATATTTGAGGGCGCCTTCAGTGCTGAGAAATTTATTGACCTCATCCAGAAGTACAAGGTCACGACGCTTGCCATGGCGCCCTGGCAGGCCTATGAACTATTTACCCATCCGCTGGCCACGGAGGAGACCTTAGCCACCATTAAGATGTCCTTCATCACAGGCGGCTGGATCGCGCTACAAGTGCTGCAGCAGGCGCAGAGCCTCATGAAGAAAAGCATCATTGCCTTCTCCTACGGCAGCACCGAGACAGGTGCTGTGACGGTCAATATTGATCACAGCCTTGATAATTCGGTGGGTCGAGTCTTTCCGGGCATGCGCATTAGGATTGCCGACGAGGACGGCAACAATCTGGGCTACAACGAGGTCGGCGAAGTGCTCATCGACATTGGCTCCAATTGGGAGGGCTATCTATGCAATCCCGAGGAAACTGCCACCACCATGAAGGATGGCTGGATCAATATCGGCGATCTGGGCTACTTTGACAACGACAACAATCTGTATATAGTCGACCGCAAGAAGGATCTGCTCAAGTACAAATCCAAGCACTATTGGCCCAACGAACTGGAACAGATCATCACCGAGCTGCCCGATGTGCTGCACGCTTGTGTGGTCGGCGTTCATGATCCCAAAAATGGCGACTCCGCCGGCGCGCTGGTTATCAAAAAGGCCGGCTCTCCGCTCACGGAGCAGCAGATCATTGACCATGTCGCCCAGCGCGTTGTCGTTGACTACAAGTTCCTCCATTCCGGCGTACAGTTCGTGGATGATCTGCCCCAGAACCAGAATGGAAAGATCCTGCGAAGCCAGGCCAGAGACCAGTTCGAGTCACGCATGAAGTAACTGACTTCATGTCTGTATGCTGGGTCGTAGCTTTGCTCTTTGTTTTGTTTAAAATAATTGTTAAAAATATAATTCCTAGATAAGATAAGAAACGTATGCGTAATAATAAAAATATCATTTTGTAGATAAGCACGATTCGACTTTATTCTTTTGACACTTTCATCATGTGGCCAACAAGTTACTTAAGATTTCAATCAACTATTAATTCAAAATATATTCTCCCATATATTTGATATATTTATATATCTCACGTCATTTAAACAGATAAACCATTGTGTTTTCGAGAACACTAGAACTTGTGTAAGTCGAAATCGAAATGCTCGAACTGCCTGCGCTCACTTTATACAGGTGATATGTGCACCTGCACTAAAATTTTATATAAGCGGATCTAATTTGCTGATATCGGCTGACCACTTGTGGCTTTTGATATAGTAATAAATGTTATTATAATACTATTGGAATTAAGATAACAATTCAATTATGATATCTCCATCAGCTGAAGGAACGGATGCACCTGGCCGCTCCATACATAACAAAGATATCAAGGAGTCGCGCTCAAAGGTTGCACGCGTCTTTGTTACGTGAAGACAAAGATAAACTCAATGTGTAGACAATGACAAAAGGCGTCAATGTGCCCAATGCCATAGATATAGACTCAATCTAAACACAAAGACTAACCGATTGGCTATGATGAATTTTGCTTAGCTTTGCTTTGTTTCAATTTACAATAATTGTAGATAAATTCATATATCAAATTGAGAATTAGTCTAGTTAGAATATGATATGAGCCAAGTATTTATTTAAAATATTAGTCATTTATTATAATTTTGATTTTAATTATTATTCTAACACTTTTTTACAATGCAAATATTCCAAAAGTTATCAAATATTATTGTCAAGTGCCTGGTAACCAACTAAGAATGATACCATTTGAAATAACTATATTTCAGCTGATTAAATTATTTATAATATATAGTCGCTGAAGTATTTCACAACAATTGGCATTTATTTATAAATATTTTAAGAAATTACAAAAGCTCTGGCTGCCCCACACCTAGTAAGAGTGAAGTTTGGCGACTTAATATTTGAGATATTTATATTTAAATTTTAGAAATATAAATAGAAAAGTTGAAAAACTTTGAAAATATAAAAATAAATATTAATAGAAATAAAATAAGTAAGAAACTTAATAAATTTAAAATGCCAAATTCACATATTCAAAAAAAAAAATATATATATACATATATATATATATAAAATTTAAGAAACATTGTCTTGATTGGAATTAATTGAAATATAATCAATAAAATGTTTGTTATTTGGGATATGGAAAAAACAATCAAGTGGCAACCTAATCGAAAGACGTTTTTGCACATTTGATCTGTCTAAAAAGTAAAATTTATAGCCGAAAAGCGTGCGAAAATAAATAAAATAAACACAAGAAAAGTAAGCGAAAGACGGCCATCAATCAATCAAATGCCAGTTGGTTCGATTCAAAAATCTCGAACACGTCGACCAGACAGATCAGCATTGACTCTAGCTCTGAATCCGGCTGACTCCGAATGAAAGTCACCTGAAAGCGCTGATTGCAAAATGTCAAATCATGGAAGGGGCTGGGGGCTGGAATGGGGCGAAAGGCGACTCAAGCGGCGCGTGCACATTCAAAATGCCAATCAAAGTCAGAGAGCCTGGTTACCTTTGAAGTGGATGGCTTGACAGAGGCATTGTTAACGCAGATAATTCGTGTTTTCTCTGTGTGGGTGTGTGGAGCATCAATTGCAGGCGCCTAAAACTATGCAGCAAAATGCAGTGCAGACCAAAAGCTCCTCAACAATTGCAAAGATTTACCGCAGGGGGTAAAAGGCGTTAACATTTTTGAGCTGAAAGATCTTTGGCGTGTGAGCGTGGGCGTGGTAAGTGGCAAAGCCAGCCAGCCAGGCAGCCAGGCTGCCAGCCAGCCGGGATTTGCTTATGTTTAAGCGCGTTTATTTACGACTAGAAATTTGAATAATTTACGATGCCGTCGGCAGCGAAAAATGCAGTCCACAGCAGACAATGTATAAGAATGTTCCCCTGTGTGTGTGGCTAGAAGAAAAACAGCGAAGGGGACAGCGTTCAGTTGGTACAGCTACAGCAGCCAAAGCCATGAAAACATGGCACAGGACATGGAACATTGAATCTGTTTTTGGGAGCCACAGCAATTGCTGCTGGCCATTGTAGTTGCGTGGGCGTTGAGGGCTGGCTTAGGGCGGGGGTGTGGTCGATGTGGCAATGGAAAGGCGAATGAAGCGTAAAACGATGCCAACAACAACAGCAAAGAGTTACAACTGCTGCGAACAGATTGCGGCCAACAGTGAGCAGCGGAAATGGCAAATGGCAACGAAACATAAACGGAAACACAAAATGCCGCCATGAAACGGAAGTTAAATTATTGCAATTGTGTTGGCAGCGCTTTTCATAACTGCAAAGTGTTGTGCCGTGCGGTGTCACTTGGCTCTTGTTGTTACTGTTTACAATTAAAGCAGCTGCCACGCTTTCAATTGTAAACAGCGCCATCTATTGGTCGGCGGCGCAGTTGCTTGATTGCCAGCAAATACAGGGAACAAAAGCCAACAGAACTGACATGGAATGTCAATTTAACTCTTTTGAGAAAGATACTGTTGATGGTTATGAACGCAGCAGCCCAACTTCAGCTGACATCATTAACAAATGATTTTTAATAAAAATTTAGTTAAATAATAAATTTAGTAAAATAAAATAAAATAATTTGTAAAATAATAAATAAATTTATAGCATCACAAACGTATGTGAATCGTTAACGGTTAGTGCTAAGTACTTTTCCATAAGGTACATTGCAGAAGGAGAAGACACAGCATTTAATCATCCATCAAGTTTGAGTTCGTGGTCTTCCATCACATATCGTGCACATATCTAATTATCCCCGCGGCTCTTCCGAAAAAATACCCCATCTAGGAACGCACATAAAGAAATGTTTACATGCAATTACCGTTTTAGTGTCGCGCTGTCAACTCGAATACCATTTGGAATTGTTTATTACTCGCCCAGGGCCATGACGAGAGAGCGAGAGAGAGAGATAGAGTTGCGGAGTCTGTCGGTCGCATTCTTAATTACAGTGCCTGCAATTTATCATCGGCAAGCAATTGCCACTGGAAGCCAGAGCTAAAAATGCTGCCGGCTGCTTATGCTCCACGTGTTTACAGTCGGCGACTGCCGTGTGCTCGGGGCCAAACACTAAACAGAAACCGAAAGAGCTGAGGCAACTGCAGATAGCGCCACTAAAACAACTACTAAGTGCTTGCTAATTGAATGCTAGTCTGGGCACAAGCGAGCCAAAATTCTCTAATTACTTACAATTTTCATAAATACCCAACTGGCCATTAGAATTAGAAACTTTGCCGTCTCTGTCAAGCAGCAAACTGAAAATTATTTAATGAAAACTTGTGAATAACGAAGGACAATTTAACAGCATATCCACAACATATTCATGAGCAATTTACAGCATATGTTACGCGAATTATGTTAAGTTTAACTTCTAATTAAGTTATGAATTTTATTAATATCCAATTGAAATGAGTCAAGATGAACCAATTGGGAATTAGAACTCATTTTACGCAGTGAGCAAATTCTGTTTTGATTGACTCGCTTCAATGTGTGCTTCGTTGCTCCAGCAATATTGCCCTGAATGTAGTCGAGCCAATCTGTTCTTCTACATCTTGTTCTTCTTCTTCCCTAAAACTGTTTGGCTATTACTCAGTCTGCTTAGATTCAAGGAAGCTTACTCGTGCTCAAACTTTTAATACAACGACCCACAAATATTCAAGTCGCGTCTTAAAATCCAAGCCGGAAATTCTTACAGATTTCTTAATAATTTTCACACGTTTGGCAGGCCTTAAATGTAATAAATATTTTCAGATTTTGTGTAAGAATTTAACTTGCTCAGCCAATTCACATACATAGAAGGTTCTGATAGAATAGCAGATATTCATATTTAAGCTTTATTTTTAAATATTTATTTAAATAAGCTAATTTTCTGAAATCCCTTAAACGAACTCAATTTAAGCGCGACAAAATTTTCAATAATTTTCCCAACTATTTTCGTCCATTCGCAATAAGCCAAACTACATATTTTGATAACAATTAAATGCATTTGCAACAATAAAGTCTTTTGGCCTAGAACTAAATGCAGCTATAATAAGTTAGTAATTAGCTGGCATCAAATTGAGTTCGCCATAAAAATTGCAATTCACACGACTATCGCAGCGCAGTCGTATATTTATATAGCCACATGTGCTGGCGAAATCGTATAGATTTATGGCAGTGGCATTAAGCGTCAGCAGCAGCTGCAGCTGCAACTGCAGCCACAGCCATTTCCTTTTCCTTTTGGTTGCACTTGGCATTGGGTCGGGGGGAGCTGGGGGCGGAAGGCTCTTAATTAAGAGCTCCATTTGGGCTGCGCGTGGTACGTGGCAATAAAAACACATGTGTGGACAGTGTTACCTATCTGAAAGTATTTAGAGGCGGGGGCGTGGCAATGTCGGCCTGTTACCCATCCAATTTTTAGTGCCGTTTAAGCCATTTGCACATTTTCGTTTATGGCCTTTGCCATTTCGCTGCTGTCTTCCTGTCAACACATCCTGTTGCTGTTGCTGCTGCGGGCGTGCCTATTAGTCCTTGCCTCGAGACTCGAGTAGTTGATGCTCTTTTGTTAGCTCAAAATTGGAATGTCATAAAAGTGTGTTTGCTTATTTAAAAAATCGTAAAAGAGAGAAATGCAGAGAAAATGAGAGTCTGACTCATGACAGCAACGAAATTTCCAGGCACAGCAGGTCAACAGTTGTTTGCTGTCGTTGCTGCTGCTGCTGCTGGTGTTATTCTGCTGGGCATTGTCTTGCCATTTACGAGCCATTCCATCTTTTGGCACCCTTTCGCACTGCTGGCTGTCTGTCTGTCTGTTGGCGCTGACTTCCGTTTCCGCTTGC